GTAAGATTAGTTTACCATCTTCTACAGGTAGGTCTTCAGTCAAGCTGAGATGTTTAAAAAATTTATATAAAAAAATAACAGTTAAATATGCTCCACTGAACTAAATTTTTCATGTGTTGAGGGGACCCAGAAAAAAAGTCTATTTTTTTTTTTACATATATTTGAAAAATTATGCATACAACTTTGAAATCTTGTTTTTCGTTCAATGATTATTGACAAATTATGTGGTAGGTGAAGCACTGCTTCTGAGTGGTAGGTGTAGTGGTCGACAGTGTAATAGGTGTAACAGTTGACAGTCCAGCTCAGTAGTGGGTGTAGTGGTCAGGTGCCGCGGCTGCAGCTGCTGCCTGCCTCTCGAAGTTCCTGAAGAACTGAGCCTTAGCGGCGGCCACCTCAGGAGTGTCCCGGACCGGGCCGGGGGCGACGTTGTAGGTGGTATGGGGTACACCATAGGAGTGGGAGGGCACACCGTAGGAATGAGATGGGACGACGGGGGTAAAGGTGTTGACAACGGGAGCGTAGGCGACGGGAGGAACGGAGGCGTAGCCTGGGGTACCATAACGACGGGAACGAATAGTGTCCACCTGGTTCTGGTAGGCCCTGAAGAAAGCATTCTTAGCGGCGGCGACTTCGTAGGTGTCGGAGACAGGGATGACTTTACCGTCGACGCCGGCGGGGACGGTGGCAGCCACAGGACCCGTCCACCTGGGCTGGACGGGGACGCCGTAGTGGTGGCCATGGTTGTAGGCCTGATAGGTGGAGGCGGAGCACACGCCCATCACTGCCAAAATAACCTGAGGGAAGGGGGACAGTTTTGTCTTTAAGGGTCGACATAAATGACAGCAATATTTTCCTTGGTTAATCGTAAATGAAAGAAACAACAGCGTAGTCTTAATTTTTGAATGATTTAATTTTGAATCTATAATCTTGACAAATAAGTATTAGTCCTATAAAGAATCTTGTTTGTTTTTTCTCACATTTCATATCCAATTCCTATGTAAGCAGAGATAGGAGAGACGACAGTAAACGAGTTCTGCTGTAAAGAACGTAGGGTGACTTTAACTACTGGGAAGATCTCGTTACTAAATAATGTTTTCTGAAATTATAAAAATGTAGATGAATGACAACCTTAGTAAGGACCAGTCTTTAATGACGCAGAAATTTGGACTGAAGGGAGAAAGAACTGAAAAAGGTAAAGAGTTGAAGTGAGATTGGGTAGGTATTGAGAGACAGACGGGAGCCTTAACAGAAGATGGCTGGTGGAGAGAAGATAAGTTATATGACCACATAATAAGAGCTCAAGAGGAAATACTGAATGCATATACTGAGGAGGACCCGAGCCCTGGAAGAGCCTTCAGGGCACAACACCAGCGATGATAGTTACCAGAGTCCTCATGTTGACTGTGTGTGAGGTGAGAGCCAGACTGTGCTTGGTGCAGCTCCTCACTCTCTATTTATACTTCACCCATGACCCTCACTCCCCTCCTCCCTCCACGCCCTCCTCCTCATCTGACCCTGTAATGACCGGGGTGAGGTTTCGTGCATTATTTTTGAAAAAAAAAAAACATAACAGATTACGTTAGGCCAAGCCCTTAACATCTGTTTTGTTTTCTTTTGTTGCGTCTTGCATCAGCGATATGTTATTGTCTCTCGTTCACATATTTTCAATCTTGGCTGATAAAAGATCCTTCATGATATCTAAGAAATGCAGAACAATAATTCATTCACTCCTCCTGGCCCTCCAACCTTCCACTTACGTTTTCAAATGATATTTTTTTTCCTTATTGTTTATTATCGCTTTATTCATGTTACACCAACATAGATTGTCGTCCACAGCGACTATTGGCGGTTTGTTCCAGAACTATTTCCTCCTTAACTGAGTAAATTAGAAAAAGTCTTATTGGCATACTTTATCTACGACAGATTCGGTATGTTTAATGAGACGGGATTCTATAATGTTCCTACTGACAATTGAAGAACACGGTAATATTGAGGAGGCATTATCCCAATCAATGCAATGCTTATTATCTCTCATGTGAATGAACAGAGCATTGGATTCATGGCCTGTCCTAACACTATATTTATGCTGTTTAAGTCTAGTTATAAGATCTTTACCCGTCTGGCCTAAGTAAAACTTATTACATTCCTTACAAGGAACCTTACAAATGCAGCCGCCTGCATTGTTGGGGGAGTTCTTAATTAACATTTGTTTTACAGTGCATGAGTTTTTAAATGTCACATTAACGTTCCAGGTTTTCAGTTGTATAGGAATTTGAGAGAAATTTTTGTTAAATGGTAATACTAAGATATTCTTACTGTCATGGGTTGGCTTAGGATCAGTTCTATAAAAAGATTTCTTAATAATGTTAAGGCATTTGTCTATAAAAGACCTATGGTACTTAAGGTTAAAGACAATGTTATAGATATATTTATATTCCTCATCAATGAATTCCGGACCGCATATTCTTAGAGCACGAAAAAACATTGATGAAAATACTGACTGTTTGACTCTATTATGGTGGGCAGCATAATAATGAATGTATGAACACACATTAGTAGGTTTCCTATAAATACTGAACTTAAAGGTGTTACCTATTCTGTGGATCAGACAAGTCTAGAAATGGTAATTTGCAGTCATTCTCTAATTCCATCTATTTATAAGGATAAATACTTGACAAGGCTAATATATGCAATAGAGGAGAGTGAGATCAAGTCCCTAGAAGGCAGCAGGTGTCCACAATATTCCGGTCAAGTATTACTCCTAAGTCTGTACTCACCCCTGAAGATGTGAATTACACAAAAGCGCTTGGGAACTTCGTGTTTTCTTGTTTCCTTGTGGTTATCAGCATATACCTAGATCACGCGCACCTACAGTTATTTACTTGCATATATATATATATATATATATATATATATATATATATATATATATATATATATATATATATATATATATATATATATATATATATATAGAGAGAGAGAGAGAGAGAGAGAGAGAGAGAGAGAGTATTTCACAATAGGAGGCGACTGGGTATCAAATTCTTCAATATAAAGAATCATTGTATAGTTTTACCGGGACCGAAAATTACCCTAAACGAGATACTGGGGATATGTGGATAGATGTAAGTGTTAATGAAGATATTGGGAAAACGATTTATCATTAGGGTCCTGCCGGAGTTATCAAAGTGGAAATTGAGTTTCTTTTGCGCTGTATACGAGCAGCTGAACTGAACTGAACTTAATAGTGAGGCCTGTGTAAGTAGGTTTTCTGTGATGAGAAGTAGAGAAAACATTGTTTGATCTTTCTTGATGCCTAGAAATAGAAGCTTATGGTGTTGTCCACACTCACAGTTAAACTCTATAGTGTTGCGTTTAGAATTTAGGTAGTCGTAAGAACAGGAGGATGTGGTGAGCAGACTTGAAGATTAAAAATGTCTCGTCCACGTATCTTTTATAACGTAGTTGTTTAAATACAACTGGACATTCTTGTAACCATGAAGGTTCACAAAAAAAAAAATCGAAGCTGAGTTTAGGTCCCAGGGGGCTACCTGTGGCTACATCATCCAACTGGCAAAAGTATGATTAGTTCGAAAGAAATAAACTGTCATATTAAAAATATGACGAGTATGGCAGAAAGATGTGTACAAGGTCCAGGAAAAAACCCTGTTAGGAGTGGAGAAGAGCAGAAAGGACTTTTAAAGATGAACTGCAACCAAAGTCCAGGCAATCCCTAAGACCTTGTATCGCTTCCCAAAATCTAGATTAAAGACACGTGTGTGCGTATCAAATCTGAGGCTTCAAGATGGGAGTTAAGCAGACTAAGATCAGGATAAGGTAGAGATATTTTAATAAATTATTCGCCTCAATTATTTAAGAAAGTCTAAAACAGGGCCATTAACTGGTTCCTGCATTTCAGCACCTAACGTACAGTAGACGGACAAGATGGCGATTTAAAGAAGTTTATGAGCACCTGAATCAAACCGAGTCAAATGTTCACACCTGGAGCTAGCAGATACCTTTCCCAAAATTAGTCTCAACCTCAAGCTAAACAAAGTAAAAGCACAGAAAAATTTCCACACTAAATTTTCTTTGGGAGTAAGAGCTGCAAACTATTGGAAAATACATGTTGTGAGGTGTTGAGTGACAATGCCCGTAATACCCGTCGAGGGAGAACGGTAATATACGTCCTCCCTCGAGGGAAGACGGAACCATCCACGATGGTTGTCAATAACGTCTTTCTCTCGTCAAGGATATATAACTACTGCCTCAAGAGGTGGCCAAAGAGCCGGCTACTTAATGCCTTAACTCAGCACTAGGTGACGCGACTCCCCGTGGGCACACCTTATCACGTGCTCTGAACATGCTATCTTATAGCTAGTGGAAAGTGATAGAGTATATAAATTAAATGCAATTAACCCATTTATATAAATACTTCTGCCTATAAGATAGGGGTTATTACAACTGGATAGCGAAAGAGAGTCGACCAGTGGCGAATAGGATAAAACAAAATTAAGATAACGTAAAAATTGAAGCGGGTCCCGTTTCTCAGTCTTGTTTTCTGTTACACATGGACACAGCGTGACAGGCAACTGCACTTGACCGCCACCATTTGCCTCACCTACACTATATAGTTAGGCACCAATTCTCTGCTGCGTGACCTGAAGGTGTTTCTGGCACGGACCAGGAGAGGAAGGGAGGGCTGTATCCACTCCGCTGCCGCACCTCCATACTTACACTACCAGAAGTTACAGATTAAGGATGTGTTGTCTGCCTAAGGAAGACAAGCACCGTGTAATATGTGAGAGATGAAATCACTTAGTTCTATAAGTAAGTTGAACGGAACGAAACACTGAAGAGTAAGATTAGTTTACCATCTTCTACAGGTAGGTCTTCAGTCAAGCTGAGATGTTTAAAAATTTTATAAAAAAAATAACAGTTAACAATGCTCCACTGAACTAAATTATTCATGTGTTGAGGAGACCCAAAATAAATTCAAATTTTGTTTGTACATATATTTGAAAAATTATGCATACAACTTTGAAATCTTGTTTTTCGTTCAATGATTAATGACAAATTATGTGGTAGGTGAAGCACTGCTTCTGAGTGGTAGGTGTAGTGGTCGACAGTGTAATAGGTGTAACAGTTGACAGTCCAGCTCAGTAGTGGGTGTAGTGGTCAGGCGCCGCGGCTGCAGCTGCTGCCTGCCTCTCGAAGTTCCTGAAGAACTGAGCCTTAGCGGCGGCCACCTCTGGAGTGTCCTGGACCGGGCCGGGGGCGACGTTGTAGGTGGTATGGGGTACACCATAGGAGTGGGAGGGGACACCGTAGGAATGAGATGGGACGACGGGGGTAAAGGTGTTGACAACGGGAGCGTAGGCGACGGGAGGAACGGAGGCGTAGCCTGGGGTACCATAACGACGGGAACGAATAGTGTCCACCTGGTTCTGGTAGGCCCTGAAGAAAGCATTCTTAGCGGCGGCGACTTCGTAGGTGTCGGAGACAGGGATGACTCTACCGTCGACGCCGGCGGGAACGGTGGCAGCCACAGGACCCGTCCACCTGGGCTGGACGGGGACGCCGTAGTGGTGGCCATGGTTGTAGGCCTGATAGGTGGAGGCGGAGCACACGCCCATCACTGCCAAAATAACCTGAGGGAAGGGGGACAGTTTTGTCTTTAAGGGTCGACATAAATGATAGCAATATTTTCCTTGGTTAATCGCAAATGAAAGAAACAACAGCGTAGTCTAAATCTTTGAATGATTTAATTTTGAATCTATAATCTTGACAATTAAGTATTAGTCCTACAAAGAATCTTTCTTTTTTCATATTTCATATCCAATTCCTATGTAAGCAGAGATAGGAGAGACGACAGTAAACGAGTTCTGCTGTAAAGAACGTAGGGTGACTTTAACTACTGGGAAGATCTCGTTACTAAATAATGTTTTCTGAAATTATAAAAATATAGATGAATGACAACCTTAGTAAGGACCAGTCTTTAATGACGCAGAAATTTGGACTGAAGGGAGAAAGAACTGAAAAAGGTAAAGAGTTGAAGTGAGATTGGGTAGGTATTGAGAGACAGACGGGAGCCTTAACAGAAGATGGCTGGTGGAGAGAAGATAAGTTTTATGACCACATAATAAGAGCTCAAGAGGAAATACTGAATGCATATACTGAGGAGGACCTGAGCCCTGGAAGAGCCTTCAGGGCACAACACCAGCGATGATAGTTACCAGAGTCCTCATGTTGACTGTGTGTGAGGTGAGAGCCAGACTGTGCTTGGTGCAGCTCCTCACTCTCTATTTATACTTCACCCATGACCCTCACTCCCCTCCTCCCTCCACGCCCTCGTCCCCTCACGCCCTCCTCCTTTCTGACCCTGTAATGACCGGGGTGAGGTTTTGTCCATTATTTTAGAAAATAACATAACAGATTACGTTCGGTCAAGCCCTTAACATCTGTTTTGTTTTCTTTTGTTGCGTCTTGCATCAGCGATATGTTATTGTCTCTCGTTCACAAATTTTCAATCTTGGCTGATAAAAAATCCTTCATGATATCTCAGATAAGCAGAACGATAATTCATTCACTCCTCCTGGCCCTCCAACCTTCCACTTACGATTTCAAATTATCTTTTTTCTCCTAATTGTTTATTATCGTTTTATTCACGTCTCACCAACATATATTGTCGTTCACAGCGACTGTTGGAGGTCTGTTCCTGAAATATTTCCTCCTTAATTGAGTATATGAGAAGTTTATTGGCATACCTTGTTCGACTTATATATATATATATATATATATATATATATATATATATATATATATATATATATATATATATATATATATATATATATATATATATATATATATATATATATATATATATATATATATATATATATATATATATATATATATATATATATATATATATATATATATATATATATATATATAAAGTTACGAAGGTTAAAACAGGAAAAGACAATGAAAAGCTGACCTTTCAGAATATACAGTACGTATGTGCAGAATGTCTGAATATGAAGAAGTTGTTCTAAACGAGGTGATTATGCTACGAAGGAATCAGGAAAATAGGCCGCGCCCACCACAGTATGCCAGTAGAGGATAAAGAAAAATATAGTAGAAAAAATCGTATATTCGACAGGCAAAAAGACTTAGCGAAGCATTCGAATCCAACCTTTTGGATGAACTGCATTTGACGAAATTACAAAATAATGCAGAGGGAAGAGCAACGCTTGTGGGTGATACACAAGGGGAAAGTAGTGGAGGCAAGTAAACAGTGGAGAAACAGAGGAATGGGCAAGGGGGAACAGCTAGTCAAACTCCAGTCCCATGACCTCCCACCCAGGAGGAGGCGCGCTACATACAAATAATTATATATATGACTACACCCCACACTAAGCGGTAAATAGAGTAACTAAGTCAGCTACCCGGTACCAAGCTCGGGGCAACTACCGCGAACTATTTCTGGTTTATGTCATATACGCAAGCACCGACACTATCCTAGACAAGGGAGTGGAATTTAAAACTACTTAAGACCCATCAACTTTACATAACAGGCGTCGTGGACTTTTGTGGAAGACCAGGTGGATCGATCCGAAGAACTACGAGTTTAATTTAGAAGGCTATGTATCACTTACAAACCTCTCTGAAGGAGTGTGGTTATCTAAACCAATAAGGTCCTTAGAGTCAGCCAGGTGAGGGTGCAAGAGGGACGATATTTTTGAAGAATCGAAATTGTGTAAAAGAAAACTCATTGTTAAATGTATTTACAGATCCCCGAATTATAATTTATTAAACCAAAGGAACTTAAGATTTTTAATCGAATATAAAACGCAACTCTAGTTACCTCATAGTCATAGGGAACTTACATTATAACGATAATCAAGTGCAGCAATGAAAGTTCACCGACTGGACTTAATAATCCTACAAATCTATTTATAGGATCCGACTCACTGAAGGCATGAACAAATAACAAAACCACTGAATCTTGTTGAATCTTGTCATAACTAACGAGGAGGATATGGTGGCCAAACTAGAACAATTAGCCTTCGTTGGCACTGACCATAACTTGCTTTATTCCTTCAGATTTAACTGTTAATAAATATATGATGAGAGCAGCCCAAGGTTCAACTATTACAATGGTGATTACAACAGGATCAGGAAGGACACAAGCAGCATGGACTGGCCTGACTTGTTGAGAAATAAGAATGTGGATGTTATCTTGAAAATCATAGTGAAGAAAGTGAATTATATGATGGGCAAATACATACCCAAGACAAGGTTCATTAGCTCCAGGACACCTAGACTACCGTAATACTGTATATGAATCATGAGGCAACTTACAAAGTTTAATAAGAAAACTCACTTTGAAAATATGATGAGTAGGACAGAAAAATGTATGCTAGGTCCAGGACCAAAGGCAAGTAAAAGTGCAGAAGAACAGAAAAGTAGTTTTAATGGCGAATTGCAATCAAAGCCCAGTCAAACCCGAAGGCCTTCTATAGCTTCGTAAAATCGAAATTAAAGACACTTGTGGGCGTATCAGATCTTAAATCTTAAAGATGATAGTTTCGCAAACTCAGATCGGGATAAGGCAGAGGTGTTAAATAAATTATTTACTTTAATGTTTACAGGAGAGGACGCATTCGATAGCATATATCGCGAAAGGCTGAGAAGTAAATTGGATGGGTTTGGAATTCGGGGGAACGTGCTGGAGTGGAATAGAGATTTTCTTTATGATTACAAGCAGAGTGTGGTGGTTAATGACACGATATCGTCATGTGCACCCGTTGCAAGTGGTGTACCACAGGGCAGTGTGCTGAGGCAGGTTGTTCGTTGTTTCAAAAATGACATTCCATGTGCTATTCCTTTACCCATGCAAATGTTTGCGGGCGACACTAAGGTACCAAAGTATGAAACGGATTGTGAAGCGTTACAGAAAGATCTCAATTGGATTCAGGAGTGTTCGAAGGAATGGCTGATGAGACTCAGCATTAAGAAATAAAAGAGAGTGTACAGTCTCGTTCAAGATTCTCCGAACGCTGCTGGAGACAGTTGGCAACTCAAGGCCGTTTGCTTACTATAGTACGTAGTAAAGTATAATATGAAATAACAAAGCCCAACCATTAAATTAAGTAGCGGGGAACTAAGTAACCAATCATGGATCACTTTTAAATTAATTAATTTTAATAAGTACTATAGTAAAAAAACGGCCATGAGTTGCCAGCTGTCTCCAACACTGTTCGGAGAATCTTGAACGAGACTGTACCTACGTCGTACAACGAGTAAAGAGACATATTTCAAGTTCCAGTGTGACAAAGAAACATCATTAACTGACACCAATTGTGAAAAGGACCTGGGTGTGTATGTTGATAACGAACTGAAATTCTCGGATCAGTGTAAGATGAAAGTGAATTCTGCATACAAACTACAGTGTACCAGGACTTATAAGAACCTCGTACTCATACTTAGATGGCTCGTCCCTCATAACTTGGAGTACTCTCATTCTGTCTGCTATGTTAAAGACTTCCAATTATTTGAGAAAGTCTAAAAGAGGGCCATTAACTGTTGCCTGCATTTCATCACCTAACGTACCAGGAGAGATTAGAGCAGCTTCAGTTGCTTAGCTTATACTACAGACGGGGAAGATGGTGATTTAATAGAAGTTTATAAGCATTTCAGTTAAACTCAGTCAAAAGTTCATATCTGGAGCTAGCAGTTATCTCTCCCACAAATGGTCACAACCTCAAGCTATAGAAGCCACAAATATAGAAGTTTATCAAAAATTTTCTCTTTTTGAAGTAAGCTGTAAACTCTTGGAAAAACCTGGCATAGAGTGTTGTAACGGCACCGAATGTGAGCTCATTTAAAACCAGACTTGATCAACACTGCAGCATGTTCAGGTACATTATAGAGCTCGAGCCCATATACGCCAAGTACTTGACCAAAATGCGTAACAGAAAAACTATCGGCCGCTCGACTGGCTAATAAGTCGACCAGTGTGGAATAGGATAAAGTACAATTAAAATAAAATAAAAAGTGAAGTGGGTGCCGTAGGCTTAACGAGCTGTCAGGAGCGACCTGAGGATGCTTCTGGCGCGGACCAGTGACTCTTAGGAGAGTAAGCAAGGATTGTATCCACTCCGCTACCACACCTCTATACTTACAGTACACTACCAGACAATAGAGATTAAGGATGTCTTATCTGCATGAGGGAGAAACGCACGGTGTTAGATCTGTTTAGATGAAATCATTTAGTCAGGTGGACGGAACAAAGCACCGAGGTCTAAGATTAGTTCACCCTTACCTAATTTCTCAGTCATTCTGACATGTTCCAGACTTGATAAAAGAAATAACAGTTAATTACGTTCCACTGAAGTCAAATTATTCACGTGTCAAAGGAACCCAGGAAAAGGTTTTATTTCTATTTGCACATATATTTGAAAAATTATGCATACAACATTGAAATCTTGTTTTCGTTGGATGATTAATGACAGATTATGTGGTAGGTGAAGCACTGCTTCTGAGTGGTTGGTGTAGGGGTCGACAGTGTAATAGGTGTAACAGTTGACAGTCCAGCTCAGTAGTGGGTGTAGTGGTCAGGTGCCGCGGCTGCAGCTGCTGCCTGCCTCTCGAAGGTCCTGAAGAACTGAGCCTTAGCGGCGGCCACCTCAGGAGTGTCCCGGACCAGGCCGGGGGTGACGTTGTAGGTGGTATGGGGTACACCATAGGAGTGGGAGGGGACGACAGGGGTGTAGGTGTTGACAACGGGACCGTAGGCGACGGGAGGAAAGGAGGCGTAGCCTGGAGTACCATAACGACGGGAACGAATAGTGTCCACCTGGTTCTGGTAGGCCCTGAAGAAAGCATTCTTAGCGGCGGCGACTTCGTAGGTGTCGGAGACAGGGATGACTCTACCGTCGACGCCGGCGGGGACGGTGGCAGCCACAGGACCCGTCCACCTGGGCTGGACGGGGACGCCGTAGTGGTGGCCATGGTTGATGGCCTGATAGGTGGAGGCGGAGCACACGCCCATCACTGCCAAAATAACCTGAGGGAAGGGGGACAGTTTAGCCATTTAGGGTCGACATAAATGACAGCAATATTTTCCTTGGTTAATCGCAAATGAAAGAAACAACAGCGAAATTCGTCCTAAGATTAAGTCTTAATAAGCTACACCATAGTCTTAATCTTTGAATGATCTAATTTTGATTCTATAATCTTAAGTAATGAAGATCATTTCTTTATAGATTTTTTTTTCATTATACGTCCAAGATTCTATACAGGCGATGGATGGTGGAGAGAATATAACTTAGAATTGATCACATAG